AGGAATTAAGGACTCTAAATGGCAGTCAATAAAAAAACAAAAGTATCCATATTCAATAGGATAAGCGTCGCAGATATCTTACGCAAAGCATCGGAAAATACCATTCAAAACTACGAAATTTCCCGTCTCCTTTGCACTTGGGCCATTCGCAACAAGTACGGTAAAAAATAACCCGAGAACGTAATGGAAATGTTTACGTGTACGTACGAGTAAAACGTCGCATAGCAAGCACTTCGCAAATTCCCGCTGCTTCGAGGGCGCGCCGTGAATACAAGCGCACTTGAGAATTCTCGGGAGGGGCCTCGCAGTGGGCGCGGTAGTTTTTCCAATCGGGGGGCGGGGCAGAAAGCGTGGGTGGGGGTGGGGCGGGGGCCGGCGAGGGGAGGAAGGGCGGGGCCTAGGGAGGGTCGGGGCGGGGCGGGGGCGGTTTCGGGGGGGCCGGGGCAGGGTGGGGCAGGGGCGGGGCGGGGCAGGGTGGGGCGAGGGCGGAGCGGGCGGGTGGGGCGGGGCGGGGCAAGGGGTGGGGTGGGGCGGGGCGGAAGCAGGGTGGGGCTGGGTGGGCGAGATGGGGCGGGGTGGGTTGGGCGTGCGGGAGGGTCGGGGCGGTGCGGGGAGGGTCAGGCCCGGGGCGGGGAGGGTCCGGCGGGGCAGGAAAGGTCGTGCGGTGATGGGAGGGTCGGACGAAGGCTGGGCGGGCGGGGCGGGGCTGGGCGGAGGGCGGGGGCCGGGGCGGGGATGGGCGGGGCAGGGTGGGGCGGGTGGGGCTGGTGGGCGAGTGGGTGCGGGGAGGGTCGCACGGGAGGGGGGGGGCGGGGAGGGTCGGGCAAGGGCTGGGCGGGCGGGCGGAGCGGAGCCCCCGGGGGCGGCGGCAGGGCGGAGGCGGGGCGGAGCGGAGCGGGGCGGAAGCGGGGCGGAGCGGGGCGGAGCGGGCGGAGCGGGACGGAGCGGGGCGGAGCGGGGCGGAGTCGGGGCGGAGCGGGGCGGAGCGGGGCGGAGCGGGGCGGAGCGGGGCGAGCGGGGCGGAGCGGGGCCGGAGCGGGGCGGAGCGGGAGGCCGGAGCGGGGCGGAGCGGGGCGGAGCGGGCGGAGCGGGCGCGAGCGGGGCGGAGCCGGGGGCTGGAGCGGGGCGGAGCGGGGGGGCGGAGCGGGGGCGGAGCGGGGCGGAGCGGGGGCGGAGCGGGGCGGAGCGGGGCGGAGCGGGGCGGAGCGGGGCGGAGCGGGGCGGAGCGGGGCGGAGCGGGGCGGAGCGGGGCGGAGCGGGGCGGAGCGGGCGGAAGCGGGGCGGAGGCGGGGCGGAGCGGGCGGAGCGGGGCGGGAGCGGGGCGGAGCGGAGCGGGACGGGGCGGGGCGGAGCGGGGCGGAGCGGGCGGGGCCGGGGCGGGGCGGAGCGGAGCGGGGGGAGCGGGGCGGAGCGGAGCGGAGCGGGGCGGGAACGGGACGGGACGGGGCGGGGCGGGGCGGGGCGGGGCGGGGCGGGGCCGGGGCGGGTGGTCGGGGGCCGGGGGGGGGGGCGGGCGGGGCGGGGCTTGGGCGGGCGGGCGGGGGCGGGGGCGGGCGGGCGGGCGGGGCGGGCGGACGAAGTGATTGGGGTTGGGCGAGGCGGGGCGGAGAAGAAGGCGGGCGGTCAAGCGCTGGGAATCGGATCACGAGTTTTGCCCCGCTGGCCCCCCGGCACGCCCGGAGGAAATAATATCGAGCGCTGGATGCCGCCCCAGGGCGCCGTAAGTCCCAGTAAGGAGAAGCGGTCGTGTTTCGTTGCGCTTAGGCCGCAGCATCCGATGCCCTGGCGTGAAAGTAATGCAGAAATATTCTAAAGCTGACCAGACTTTGCATTTTTTTTAAATATTAAAACCATAAACATGTGAAGTCATCCATTATGAAGTTTCGAACTGGTAAAATGGTGGATGCGTATCACTTAAATAATACTTTTAAAACATATCGAGATAGATAAAAAACTGGTATGAATCGGGCTCGCATTTTATAGAAATATAGTAAACTAGAATTTTATTTTAGAAAATAGTAAAACAGAACGCTTGGCCTAATTTGGGAGGTTGCCAAGAAGAGCAAATATTTCGAACTTCAGACGTAATTCAATAGGTGTTTTTTTTGAAAAATCAAAAGGAGTAAAAATAAAGTATGGAAAAGTAAAAATTAAGAGTGAGAGGGAATTTTTTTTCTCGCTTTTGCTTTCTCACACTTTTTCCCTGTCAGCCTCTCTGTCTCCCTCTTCTGACACTCAATTCAATTCCACGCTAATCGATGTTTCAACAGATCTGAGCTGCAAGTAGAGGATTACTGGACATGATGTCACGCCTTTGCAGTTTTTTTTCTGCTTCCTTAAATTCTAATGGGAATTCTTTTTAGCCGCGGTTGGGCAAAACATTTGCTGCAAGTATAAAATTTATGCAACTTGAAACTATAGAACTTTGAATCTATTTCTTTCGAATTGCAATTTTTCTTTTCATAATCAATTGTGTCAGAGGTTTGCAGATTATGACTTAAAAAAAAGATTCTCAGCGACATAGGTTGGAAACAATGCATTCTAGGCCTTAAATAATTGTTTTTGTGCCCCTGAAAGACATAATTTTATGGGGACAGATGAGTAAGCCTGGGGACACGAGCTTGAAGGGATAGTGAAAAATGAGGGACGATTCGTTTCATGTGAGGAAATGAGAAAAAGCAGACAGCTCAGGTGGGACCAGGTGGGAGCACGTGGGGTCTGTATTCCTTAAGTATTCTAAAAAATGAGATATTTTGAACGTTTTAATACAATTTTGGAGATTTAGTTGTTTTGGATGTCTCACTTCATAGCATTGGTGTGAGAAAAGTCAGACTCCCAAATCTATGTGAAATGAAACTGATGGAAATGGACAGAAATACTTTTAGATAAAAATTAAATGGACTATTTGATTTTCTGTTAACAATCGCAACGCTTCACATATATAGAATGATTACTCTCTCTCAGACCGGACCTGTAATGCTTAAATATACAGTTCAGAGATGGCGTTTGAAGTTGGTTCTACCAAAGAAGTATTTTTTTATTACTAAAAAGTTTTGCAAAGTGTTACAGAGTGCGAGTTTTCCCACGGGTCCAGCTAGTTAGTATTATTGTGCCAGATGTTTTCACATGAGAACAGTCATTTCTAACTTTTGATATCTGAATTGTGGAGATTGACGAGATTTCGTTTGAATTTTATTTTAACGAACGAAAAAAATCTCGACACGAAATGATTTTAATTCCAATTAAAGCAAAACAAATTTTTTAAACAACTTGATTTACACCGTTACAGAATCAGATAAATGAAATGTTAATTTTCTGGTATTTATGACTGATTTGTTTGTTCCACTACATTTTATTCGCTGATATTTTACTCATTCCTAATACTCCGCAAATATATGAAGCAGACACCTCTGACAAGACCTAGGTAGTATCATCTGAGGGTGGATCGAACACCACGTAAGTACACACAATAGCTTCAAGTAAGCTTTGTTTTCAACGTTAGTATGTGTACTATTGTTCACCACAGTCCCATATCTCATTCACACAGCAGTTTCAGAAGGATATCGTCATGTGTCAATTGGGTGAAATGTGTTTTGCAGCTGCCAAATGTAGACGTTCCATGTTCTTATTTTTTCTGCTCATCCACTGGCCATCACGAGAGCCGCACATTAATATGAATTTGAGCTCCCAACCCGCGTCTACATATCTGAACCGCAGAGCAAGAGAGGAATCGAGAACGTGTGAGTGTCAGTGAGAGAAGATTTGGAAGGGCGGAACACTCAAGAAAGATCATAGTTCGGTAAAAGTCATAGATAGGCGGCGAAATTTAATGAAATGTCATTTTTCTTTTCATTTTAGAAAAGTGCTGCTAGAATAGAATACGTAATAAAGACAATAAAGAATTACAGGGTGCAGCTTTGAAAAGAAATCTGAAACTAACCGGTGTTTCTTATTTGGAATACGCAATTTGTTTACGGAACAATGGAATAATGTACGCAAAGCAACAGTCCTTCCTATTTTTTAGGTGTGTATTAGAAAATTACGAAATATCGTTAGTTTTACAATGTGAATGATTCATTCTTCTGGCTATTAACTTATTTTGGAATTTCGAATATAGTAACAAGTGGTCTCTATATCACCTCCCACACTTGCGCTCACAATGCAACTGGCACTTGTCGCCCGCCTTGCCCATTCGACTGGCATTTCCCTCGATCTCCCGCCCAGCTCTTGTTCGGCCGTCGAGCCACGCCCTCGCCGCCCGGAAGCGCACCGCGCGCTCTTTGTCCGTCTGCCGCCGCGGCCAAGTGCCCTTTGCAGTTTTCCACGTCCCTCGCGACGCCGCCCGCCCCGCCCCGCCCCGCGCGCGTCGCGCCGCCGCGCCCCGCCGCGCAACGGCCGCGGCGCCTGCAACATTGACTTTACGATGCTGCTGACTGGGGACCGGGCTTACAATGGGTCGCAATATGCTCGCCCTCCAAAAAAAACATAAGTTAAAAAGCAAGAGAATCCTACTGCTGAATTGTAGATTGGATAAATCGAATGCGAAAAAAGAAGATTAATTCAAGGCAAATCTTAGTTCCAATGAAAGACACACTATGAAAATGAAGATGTAAAGGAGCCAATACGCAAGTCTCACACATCAAAACTTTGGAAGTATATTGAAAATATTACGAAATGCAGGTTGTTACTACTTGGACATTTTCTGTTGAACTAAGTGGCATACTCTAAAAAAGGTATTATTAGTCAGTTGA